ATAAATGCGTGAACAGCAGAAATGTGTATCACCACAATATCCTGTCTACACATATTTCCACATGCTGCAGTCAGCTACAGTAATGTGATTATACCATTGTTTCTTCATTGCCTCAGAGTACCATCCATTATCAAGGGGTTTGAGTCATAGACCTTGTGATTGGTGGAACAATTAGACGAGGCAAAGGACTTGGGGAATGGCTGTTCTTCTCTATTTATAGAATATTTGGAACAAAAAAACTGTATTGCATGCATACTGTATAACAGAGCGTGAAGTGCTGAAGGGACTATTTGACAGTGAAATTAAATAACTTCCTCATACGTTAAGCAGATCCAAAGGGTGTTTCACTGATGTATGACTTAATTAAGATGCTTTAGTGAGAATTTAGTTTATCAAGCTTTTACTGCATTGATCAAAGGCAGAGGATTGTTTAGGCTCTATCACATTACATTTCTGTCTTGTAGTCACCTGACAAATTCTAGCAAATTAATTTTAATTAAAATCTTGCCTGCAAATGTGCTTTTTGCCAGTATAAATTATTGTGTACATTGTGATTTAGAAAGTCTTATTTCAGTTATGTATCATTACATGTTTTTAGACAAAGCCAGAGACTTTGAGTGTTGAGTCATTTCATAAATATGAGGCAAATGTGTACTTTTATTTTTTGCTGCAACCATAATCAAATGCAAACTTGCCACTGTTGCTTAAAAAATAACAAAGAATTTAAAAATAATTAGACCCATACACATTAAGTAGTGGATATGCTCTAATTTAACAAATTATTCTGCAGAAATGTGTGATTAGGGGTATACATTATTTACACAAAATGTGATTTTAAGAGTTAGGATTACTGTACTGAATTTTTATTTTATTTTAGGTAAAACATCACTTTGTGTCCAAGAGTTGAATGTATTAAATAGTGGATAGACAGTACATTTGCAAAAGAAAAGATTTAAAGTGTAAGGATATCAGCGTGCTGTGAGACATTGACAAGTTTTGCATGGATGTTGCTTTGTGGAGCAGGCAGTATGAGTACACTCATATATTCAAAGGTGGCATGTTGTGCGTTGTATCATTAATACATCACTGTCAAAAGAAACCAATATTTCCCCTCGGCTGCTATTTATTCATACCGGGCTTCTCAATTTCCCAGAGAGGTGGGGATATTTCTTATGTTTGGTGCTATAGATTTGATTTACAGCTGTACTGTACTTATTGGAAATGTACAGTGTACTTGTAAAAATGCTCATTTATTTTTTTAAAGATTGTCAACAAAAGCAGTAGCACCTGTAGCTGTTCTAATAATCTTCTGACTACATGCTAGATCAACGATAACATTTCCATGAAAAGAAATCAGAATTTGGAAATAGTTTTCCTTAAAAACTGTTAAGAAAATCATTAAAAGCAACTTAGTAAAGAAGTAAAGCACTGAAATATATAACAGCTCATACAAGTTTGCTCTCATTGCCGTTGTTAAAATGTGAAAATCCAACACATTCTGTATGTGTTTCAGTTTTTGATGTGCATTACATAGGATGCTGGTGGCTCTGAGGGACAGCAGTATTGATTGCAGGTCTTAGGCTCTCTCAAAGCTCACACATCAGTTGAGTCTGGCAATATTGACATTCAGCTGAAATGAGGAGGGGGGGGGGGGGGGGGGGGGGGGAGAAACTTGTTGATTACCCCCGAGGGAGACGGCAAGGGCATGCCTTGGACATGATGATCAGCAGCTACATCAAATGTTCATTCCTTTCCTTCCTACTCATTGTATCTTCATTCAAACACAATCTGATGACATACGTGTCATTCATCACCATAAAGCGTTTCCTTAGAGAAGGTCTTCAAATAAGCAGCGTGACACAACACATTGTCAGAAAGCTCTAACGCCTGTGGAACAATTAATATTTAATGTTTTCATTTGCGTCTGTCTTTCAATTGAAGGATTACTTCTCTAGATTAGACATTTTGATAGCTGTGGTTGTCTTTTTGGTCCCTTGTGACAGGTTGAAGGTTGCGGGGGTGATTTTGTTTAACTCATCACACTCTTGGGATTCTGTGTTCAATGAAAGTTGGCGCGTGAATCTGCTCTGCCGAGTGAAGATCCTACAATATTGGAATCCATCAGTCTGCATGTGTCCTTGAAATAATAATACACATTGTGGGGGACATGCTGTTTTCTGGAAGAGGTGATGAGGCGTAACGTGCCAGAAATCATGGGCCTATTTTGCGTGTGTCAGTCAGGGTTTGTGGTTTTAGAAAAGCTTCTTATATTGCCACCAAGTGAACAATACCATCACTGCGTTACACTGAAAGGATAGCAGTTGCTATGGTGATGCTTCTTGTGATACTGCTTCTTTGTTTTGGATCTGGGATAATTATCTATAAAGTGTCAGGGAGGTGTTATAGCTTTAATTAAAACGTATAAAGCTCTATATACACTACTGAATATTATCATCAAGTTTACTTATCAATTTAATATCATATTTTTTTGTGATCATTCAGTTAAAAATGTCAACTGGTCATAACAGAATCTGGAAATGGCCAAACTTCTCACTTGATTAATAACCTCAGTAAATATTTTCCTCACGAGTTTATGGCCTCAATGGAAAGTTTCAAGTCTTGCATGATGTTCATTTATTAACTAATAGTCCCATTAAAAAAAAAAAAAAAAAAATAGATGATAAAGTGTGTTGTCAAATGTATGTTTTCCTTGTTAGTTTCATAAAAAAAAGGAGCCCTACTTTTGGGGGTTTTCCTTTTCCTGTAGTGTGTTATAGGTCTTTGCGCATGTAAATGGTCTGCAAAGGCTAACATCAAAAAAGTTCCCTCCAGAGGGAGTTTCTCTCTTGTGACATCATTATGTAACACTCGCTTCTATTGGCTAGCGCTTCAACACATTGTATGTGATAGGCGGGACATTGCTAAGCGATTGACCAATCACCTCAGAGCAGCTGACAATCAGAGCAGACTCTGTTTTTCTATCTTTTCTGGTTGCAATAAGAAGAATGTCTCCAAGGTTTTTCATTTTGAGTTGTTTGTTTGTTTGTTTAATTGATGCTTTACTGCTGGGGAAAGCTATGCCAGTGACAAGCAACAGCCAATCTTTTTGACACTTTGCGTGCCTTCACACTCTGTTTTTACAAGTCAGTAGTCCATATGGTAAGGATTTCATGAAATATATCAATCCAGTCTGTATATTCAGCTATCTGTGGCAAAGAATCAGCTACTCTTTATGGGCTTTATTTATATTCCAAAGTTGTTTATTACCACAACCTTTTATAAAATAACAGAACCCCCTTTTTTTACAGTTCAGTAGGCTGTGATTCAGAAAGATAATATGCAACGCTGGATACATCTGAAAAAATCTATATCAATACAACAGAGGCGGGATAAAGTAGAAACAAAGGCATGCTCGAAAGCACACACACACACACACACACACACACACACACACACACACACACACACACACACACACACACACACACACCACACACACACACACACACACACACACACACACACACACACACACACACACACACACACACACACACACACACACACACATCACACACACACACACACACACCACACACACACACACACACACACACACACACACCACACACACACACACACACACACACACACACACACACACACACACACACACACACACACACACACACACACACACACACACACACACACACACTTTTTCATTACCTGGGGAACCATACAATACAGAGGAGTTGATTAGGATTGCCGACAAAAGGACAGTAGGCTCTCTGCCTCTCTGAATTAATTGTCATTAGCAGTGGAACACCAAGCCCTTTTCAAACTCATTAGTTGATAAAACAACCCTCTGATTTCCCATTAAAAAAAAAAACCCATTCGTCCTCCCTCGCTGGCGATGCTCCCCCTCCACCGCAACCCTGCATTTCCACACCTTCAAAGTCACTCCTGAGACTGGGAAAGAAATAGCAGCTCCACAATTTGTCCAGATTCTTCCCAGATTTGAATCGAAGTGTAACGGCTAACAATTAGAGCCATGATAACAAAGCTTTACAGAGACCCAGGACTACTGATGGTGACTGATTGCTTATTTTGCATTATGCAAAATATACAATTTGCTTTATTGTAGCGTTTGATTTCCACTTTGGGTTAAAGTGTTTTCCTTACCTCTTGGGATTTTGAGCTGATGGAGTCTATTAAGGACTGAAATAGAAAAGTAATTGTATGTGATGCAGTTATTCTGTGACTGTATTTCACAACCCCTGCATCAATTTTCAGAGTAATCATTCGGATCTTCAGCTTAAAGAGAAAACAAATCATTTCTGTTTCCTGGCAGAATAACAATTTATTTAAATTTAGACAAAAGGAAATACATATTTGTGCTTTGTGCAGTTTAATGAACAGCTTTTGTTAATATACACTTTATACACTGTATATATTTATATATATATAATCTTAATTGTATTATCATCACTTATTGAATATGAATAAATATCAAAGACCCATTCCTCCCCCCGCACCAATTCGTAACCATAAGATATTCTAAAGGTGTAAAAAAATCCCTTTTAATCTTTTTCAAATTTTCAAAAACATTCAAAGATACGCATTGCAAAATTCAAGTCAGTATATCTCATTCAGCCAGGATCAACATCAGGTCTCATCATCTCATACAAAGGTCATGAACCCACAAGTACCAGCAGTGATTTGTCTCTGTTGTAATGCGGATGAATCAAACCAAGACAGGAACGCGAGAATCACAAACGACACCAGTCTGAATCCACGCAGCTTAACCTTGTCTTTCCGCTTAATCACTCTTCTTCTGAGATCCTGAAAACACACCTGAGCACAACGTTTTTTTAGCAATGGTTTTAAGAAGCAGGGATGCCTCTTTACACATTTCCTCATTGTAATGTAGATCTGACAGGCAGTTTTGGTTCAGAGAAAGAAAGAAAATGTAATAACTGGGGTCGTCAGAGAGCGTTCTACAAATTTGCATGGATGTCCTCGTGTCGCAGCACTTTATAGGTGATCCAGTAGAAGATGTTGAATATGAGGAAGCTCAAGGGAAACACGGCTCTGGATATGGTGTCAATACGTTTGGCCCGGTCCACAAAACGCTTGTGAAGTACCTCGCCGTCGTAGACGGTGACTGGAGGGGGAGGGGGCGGCGGCGGGGGGGTGAACACAGTCTCCACAACGTTGCCATCCTTGTTCTGCAGGCAGTGACCCAGTCCATAACCCCGGAAGTAATAACCACGGCTGTCCCTCACCAGTTCCTCCTCCTGTGGAGTCAAGCATAGGGAAAACAGATTGGCCTCTGACTGTGGACAAACATTAGCTTACAGCTTTTCACATTTGCTCTCAGTGGCTGATTCCCAAATGTTTTTGTGATGAGCAGCACAAAAAGGCAGCAGAGTGCAACAGAGTGAGATCATTCGCACACAAAAAAGAAGCAAGAAAATGTTCACTTCAGGGAGAAATAATCTTAGATACAGTAGATGATGTGTCAGTGATGACCCCAGATTGTGCCTCTCTTGTGTTACCATTAAAGTACATTCATAGTAAGCATCTGTTTCTCTGAATAAGAGAAGCGTGGAAATGTTTGACACATGACACGCATGGTCGTCCTACAGCATAAAGTTACAAATCCTCAAAAGCTTTTCTAACCATGTGGATAAAGAAAATATTGCATTGTGATACAATAAATCCTCTTTTATTTTGGTACATCGCACACAAATATTAGCACATCTTTTTGTATGTAAATATAAATTAGCTGTAAGTAAATTCTTTGCTAAATTAAAAACAGATAATGACTTTAAAATATTTGGATCATGTATAAACTAAGCATGTTAGTCTATGTAAATGCTGCCAGGAAATAAAGGCACCATTTAAGAAATGGGTAAAAACAATAGTTTCTTATGCAACAAGTGGTTTGGAGAGTTGTGGTGAGAAAAGTGTGTCGTTCAAGGACCTTCTGGGTTTTTCAATCATATTATGGTAATACGTGAGAGGCACAAACTGACCCTAGCCTCGGATGGACTCTCTTCCCAACAGGCTTTCTGAAGTTGAAATGACACAAAGAGGGACATTGGAGGGCATAATCATTAGAAGGAAGAAAGAAAATATTTTTTACGGGAGTTAATCAAGAAATTCACCCCTGTCTCTCCTTTCAGGCTCCTTTCAAAGTTGCAGAATGATAGACCTTTCAAAATGCCTATTAATAAAAAGTCATGACCTCAACCTCTCCAAAAAAACTTGCACTTGGCATTATGTTTGATGAATGGCAGGGCATTTTTCTTTTTCTTTTAAGAGAGAATATTAATAGACATGCAGTTTAACTCTGACAGCCCTCTGACACTTTGAGAGATTCACTTTAGCAGGGGAAAGGGAAGATGTGGGATCTAAATTGGATTATTAGTAGTGCCCCAAAAACTCTGATCCCTGTGTCCTCCGTCTTCTGTGTCTCTCTCACTGACCCCGGCGGTTCTCTGGTTCTCGGCTGAACTTCACATCTCGGTGCCGGACAGACTTGGCAGTGAGACACTACCAGCACCTGTCAAAAGTCCAATGCTACTTATGTATTTCACACTTGTCTCCACCTGTCTGGTCCTGCACAATGTATTCATTTTGTACTTTAAAAACTTCCCAGACTTCTGAACCCTCCCAACTGCCCTTTACCCCGCACCTTCACTTAGCTAAAGACTTAGTAGTTTACTTCCTATCCTGTAAACTCCTCCTCCTAGTTGAATGCTCGTGATTCATTTCAGAGTTTAAAACTATCTGTTGCACCACCAAACAGAGGGGTAGAGAGTTGTGGCCCTTCTAGGATAGCTTAAGTATCCCTCCTACTCCTTTCTAAACGATACAGTACATCATGTGCTAAAGTCTAATGGTGCGTTTCTCTAAAGATAATAGGTGCTCCCAGCAGCAGCTACACACTTTGTGATTTGTTGGCATAAGATCAGCTGAGACTGATTATTCTCCACAGAGCACAAAGTGTTTTTAAGTTACTGTGGAGGTGGCTGTTTACACAGAGTGCTCATTCACAATGCAATCACTTTATTATGAATTGTAAAAGTAATCGCTATAGCATTTGAGGAAAAATACCTTTTCTTTGCCTGTATAAATGTATACCACTGTCATGTCTGTGTGGTTTGTATATATCGACTTAGCTAGGCATAAAGACGGCTAGAAAAACCGCTAGCCTGTGCCTGTCCAAATGTTACAAAGATAGTTATGTTTTTTAACTTCAGTTTTGCAAAAATAATGATATGTTGGTGAACTTTAGAGGTGCTGGTAGGTGAATATTGTTTTTCTCTTGACAGAACCTGGCTATCTCTTACTTCAGTTTCTAGCATTTATGCTAAGCTAACCGGCTAGCCAGTTGCTGGATGTATATTCATATTTATCGCAGAAGAGTGTATCAATGTGTTTTATCTTAACGCTGCAGGGAGGTGGAGAAATCTATTTCCCAAATGTAATTCTTGGTGAATTGCTGTTTTAAAAAAAATAAAACAAGTAAATTATTTAAATGAAAACAGTAATAAAAGCCAACATTCTTGGGGATTGTCCTGAACAAAAGCAGATTACAAGTTTGACATGAAAAAACAAGGGAAGAGGAAGGAATGCATGACTTTACATTTGAGTTAAAAACAGGTTAAACATTGGAAAGGAATTAAGGGCAAGAAGTTAGTAGTGTTTGTATTAAGGGGCAGAAGGTCAGAAATGGAGGGCTTGGAGGTGAGATCAGCACAAAGCGGGTTGGGATGTAGGAGAACATTTCAGGATATATTCAGGTCTGAAGTGAAAGTTGAATGACACAATCAATTTGGAGGACTGGGGGCATGAAATAATATTCGGTTTGAAGGTCTTGGGTTGACATGGGGTTTAATTTTTTACCCTGGCACAGGCGCTGCAGTGCTGATTCAGGTTCCTGTAGGTTGAGCCGTTACCTGGGAGGTCATTCACTTTCCGCAACGACTCAACACTCCCATGCTGACTGGCAAACATCTCCATTGGAAAGCAAGGTAGACAAATTGAAGCAAGAGTTATTGCTCCTTATTTCACCTTTTAGTTTTGAAACAATAGTTTTGAAACAAGAGTTTTCTCCTGTAAGATAAATCGTTGAATTATAATCAGATTTGGACATGGGCCTTCACATTTAGCTGGGAACAAGAAATCCCCCTGCTTCATTAAATGTAAAACCTACCTGTGCCATGCCAACAATAAAGTAATTAAAGGTGCAAACATCACATTCAAACAACAAACTCAAGCAGGCCCTCTCAGCTTTTAATTAAAGAGGGGCTGTGAGTGTGATAATACAGGACATTATCTGCGGCTGTTCGACTAGGGAACTGGCTTTGAAGACGAATAAAGAATCCTCAAGGAGACAGTTCAAGTTATTTCTGTAAAGACTATAAATGGAAGCTCTATTTTTCAGATTTTGTTATTTCAAAGGCTTGACATTTTGGCTTAGAGAGCACCAAAGATGCCAAACACAAAGCTGAATGTGCATTGATTGAACCTGGTCAGTCTGGGATTTGTACACTCCATCAGATTCCCAAACTCCCTCTCTTACAACACACCGGCTCATGTGTCAATACCCCTCAAATGGATAGTTTGTGACCTCAAAGTCCTGAGTGGGAGTAATTGTGCATCTGATGTGGACCATAGAAGTAGAGAGTCATTTTCTCTCTCCTGTATCGATGCATGAGGGCAGACTGCCCGTAAGTCTGCTGGAGTCTTCTTCCTCGTCTACAGGGAACTTTGCCATGAGTCTGGGGAGCTGCCCAGCCACTGAGCTGTTTAATGGGATTCTCAAGATGTCTCTTCTGTTCCTCTTGAGACAAACATTTCTGTGTCAAACTAGGTCTCTCAGTTCTCTGTGCTAGTGCTTATATTTGTCAACTGACACGCTTGGCTTTGAGGATTGTCAAGATATGGATCAAATTGAGGAAACGTATTATGTTTGGTTGATTCAAAAATAAAAAGGGATGTTTAAAGTGACACAGTGACTATATGTACCTAGTAAGATTTATGTTTTTATTTTAATTTTAACGTGATGACCTCCCTCCAACATGGCAACCAAAACATTATTCTTACATTAGTTTGATTAATACATTTATTTAACAGGTGCCATGATCAACCCAAACCAATAAGCTGTAAAGCCTATTTACGTCTGTGGTCCCTGGGCAGGTAGATATTAAAAACAATACAGTACATTACAATTGAATAAAAGCAATACCGTTTGCATAATTAACAAACTATATATACACTTATTTTTCAAGGTACATTTTTTAAGGGCTTTAGTGCATGCCTTAAGTTAAAGTACAAATTAATAATTTGAAGAGTTATAGTATTTAAAGAAATACCAGTATCTTAAGAAAGTGGTTAGTGCTCACTTTCTTGTCATATAAACTAATTGAAGCAGATAGTATTGTATTACACACAGGCAGTTGAATAGTGTCAGACTGACAACAGGTCTAAAGGTGTTATAGTGTTGCGTGTGAATGCAGGGTGAGTGTTTTTCTCTGTGGTTGATGTGATAGGCTGATGCTTTTGAATGTAGTGACGGAGAGAAAGAGAAAGGATCAACAAGACTTTGCTCAGGTCAGTGCTCACTATGGAAACGAGCTGAACAGAAATGAGCCGATCTGCCTCATGAAATATGACAGCCAGCTGTAGCGTGCTGATGTTGTCAGTTCCTGAATATACTGCGTCCCACAATAACAAGAGGCATAAGTCAATGTTATAGAGGCTGACAGGGAGTGTGTGTGTGTGTGTGCATACGTTCTCCTCATGCTTTCTTTGATAGAATCTGCCACAATGTACGTGTGTTTAAGTGTGTGTGTAACAGAGTTGGATGAAGTAAGGAAGTAAAAGGGGTACACATTGTAGAAATACTGGATATAACTCAAAGTTATACTGTACATTTAAAATCTTGTTTAAGTTACCTATGAGCTACTACCAAAAGTAAAAAGAAATGATTACGCACAGCGGCCACTTTCAGCATAATGTAATTGATTGGACTCAAAGTAATTGATTCTTTTTTGTTGTGATCATGTTGCAGCTGGTAAAGAAGTAGCTTTTTAAAAACTATATTTACTGACAGGTAGCTGGGGAATTTTAATATAATATCTGTAGTTAAATAAAAAGGACAACATTCCCCTTTGAATAGCAGGGGGGTAGTATAAAGCAGCAGGAAATGGAAAATCTGTAAAGTAAAAATTGTACATTACTTGAGTAAATGCACTTAGTTACTGTCCATCACTGTGTGTAAGCATGCTTTAGTCTGTGTTTGTGTGTGTGCTCAACATGCTTACTTTGATAGAATCTGCCACAATGTGTGTGTGTGTGTTTGAGCATGCTTAAGCTTTTGTGTGTGTGTGTGATATACACTTACTATTCTTTGCTGCCGCTGCCTTTTCCTCAGCCTGATGAACTCCTTGTGTTGCCTTGACACAAAGTTAACTGCTGCGTACTCCAGCAGGGCAGCAAACACAAACAGGAGGCACACCGCCATCCAAATATCAATGGCCTTCACATAGGACACCTGGGAAACACACAAGGTCACAGAGTCATCAACAGCCAATCAATGAGGCTATAACGGATAATCCATGGCTTCTTCACAATCTACCCATTCCTCAGTTTAGGCACGTAATGACATACATCTTTGGGAGGGTCTATATGTGTAATGAGTCTGTGGGATGGGGGCAGTTGACACATAGCCATGAGACAGGTTGCATGGCTCGAGACTTGAGGGGAGCCCCGTGCGGTCATGAGAGTTGAGATGTCACAGCCAATCAGCATTGCCCACTGAGCACGTATTGTGTGGAAACTTCACACAATTGAGCAGCAGTTTTCTCAGTTACATGTGAAAGTGGAGAGGAAAACCCCGGCCTAATGACAAATCAGAAGGGATAAACTCCGGGAACATCTCAGCTGTGTTTTAATCAATACTTCCACTACATTTAAATCTCATACTTGAACTGTCACAAAAGATATATATTTAAAATATATACATTTTATTTTTGTTCAAAAGTCATCGCTTTGGGTATTTCTACAAAATATTAAATAATGGAAAGTACAATTATTTATATTGCACTGTTTTATTTAATAATAATAATCTCGTTGTTTTTTTATATTTAATTTAAGCCCTTTCTTCTATTGTTACACTTAAAAACCACATTTTATTTTTCACATTTTAGGCAGTTTTGGTTAACACTTGAAAAGTAATCAAATGAAATAACTTGCATTGATACAATTATTTAAATTGTTACATTGCTTACATTTAAACAGGATAACTTGTGATCTGAAACCTATTATAACCTTTCTAACGCTGTTGGTAATGTAGACAAGCAGGAAGTGCTGCTGCTATGCTTTTTGCTCTGATATTGAATGTCAGTTAAACTGTTGGCCAGTCCTCGATCATCAAGGTAATCTATTGTTGTTGTTCATTTTTAGCCAATCAGGAAAAAGTGTTCACCTCCCTGCTGATCTAATATAGCCTGTCTTTCCCCTGACCTTCTCCCCGGGGATCTGGGAGTCCTTCACGTCTTTCACGTGCCAGCGTCCTCAGCCCACCTGGCACTTGTTTATCTGATCCCTCATAAATCTCTTGCCTTGTCCAAAATTAGAAATTGCCTCGTGCACAGTCAGCATTTCATGACTTTACGCGCTTTCATAGCAGATCCTCTTTTTCCAAAGCTCCTTCCAAATGCCTAATTTACCAAACTCATGTAGATGCAACCAGTTTACCATTCGCAATCCTCAGTAATCCATTGTCTGTCTGTCACTTGTTTCATGGAGGATTTGGATCGGGCTTGTCAGGAATTATCAGTAACAAATGGTAACGTCATTTCTAAATCAAGTATCACTTCTTGGGGGATATTTTTAGCGATGAGCAAGAAATGCCTTGAATATCACAACATAATCTTTTAAAACTGTGTAATTAATTAAAATAAAACTATATTCACAGCCTCAACGCTAATTCATACCCATCATGGGGCATCTTGGTTCTTCCTGTCCAGTTTGCAGTGAAAGCTATCCACAAGCAATGTCACCTACTGTATTAGTAACAAACCATCATATATCTTGATAAACCATCTTCAGACTCACCTTGGGCAGAGAGGCTCTCGAACCGGAGCTCTGCGTGGTCATCGTCAGTACGGTGGTGATGCCCAGACCCACTCGAGCAGGTGCAGCGTCCATGTTTATCCAGAAAGACACCCATGAGAGGATGACGATGAGGAGGGAGGGGATGTACATCTGGATCAAGTAGTAGCCCATTTGACGCTCCAGGTGGAACTTCACCTCAATGCAGGTGAATTTACCTGAAGATGCATGACATTGGACATTCAACTGTTTAAAGAGAAGTTGTGTATTACTCTGTTCATCCATTTGGATAAAGGCACTTGCAAATGAAAAAATAATGTAGATGCATAATTAAGATATTGAATTAAGATACATTTTGGTTAAAGAGGACATATGTTGCTTATTTCCATGTTCAATATTGGATTTTGTGATTCTATGATAACATGTTTTTGACAAGAACATGCTTTAATGTTCAAAAAACACATTACTCTTCTCATTTGATCAGTCTTTATATACATATACGGTTTAAACCGCTATGTTTTGGCACCTGTCTCTTTAACCCACTATCCTCCTGTCAAAACACATTCTGCTCTGATTCGCTTGTGAGAAAATCCTGGCGAACCTTTGTGTAATAGTTCTAAAGCTCTGGAAATACTCAGATAAGGGGCGGTATATCCTGCATGTGACATATAGGAAGAAGAGCCAAATCTGAATGGCTTGTTGAATCTATTTTGGACTGAGGCAGCCCACACGTTCTTATTTAACAGCAAGCACTGAAAAGCAAATGTCCCCTTTTTTTTTTACCCGACAGCAAGAAACAGTTAAATCACAACAAGAGCAAAGAGTTTACAGTGTTCAAGTTTTTGTAGTTGATCAATCTATATTGCATACCCAACTTCTTCAACATGCCTCAGCATACAAAACAAGCCCCAGCACTTCATTTCAATGTGTGTTTCCAGCTTCTCAACACTGTATATGGAGTGTATTATGTACCTGTGTTGTAGGACTTAGTGCAGTAGCCCAAATCCATCTCCTCTTTTAGCACAAACTGGGGGAGGGTGAGATCGTCAGCCACCTGAACGGGGTTTTCAGACAGCCACTCAAAGATCAAGTCATTCATGGTGTAACCAACTGAAAAGAGAACAGAGGAGATAGAGAAGTTATTTCAACGAGGGAAAAATAGTAAGACATTTCGTTATTCTTTCATGAAAGCTCAGATATACATTTGATATGGTATGACTTCTCCTTGTGTTCTTATTTCCATGGATATTGCACATTAAAGAACAATTCTGGCATACCTTGGTTCATTCATTTTTCAACATTACTTCGAAGAGGAGAGAATGAGATGCTCTTCATTATTTAGACAGTCTCTTATATACCAGATTTCAGACATGACACATCTTTATATTACCGCCTAAATGTTACAGCTCAGATTCCAATAATATTTTAGGAAGTGATGCATTTTACTTGCAGCTGCAGGCCATCAATCTCAACATTGTATTGACATTTCAGCAACGGTTCTACAGTACAAGTACACATCAAAATTAAGCTGTATATGTGTTTGCTGACCATGAACAGGAAATGCATCTCACACCAGGAATAACATTTCGTATTGCTGTATTGTCAGCATCGGACAATTTATGTTTTGTCCTGTGGCTGCTAAATCCTTAGAACCGTTACAAGGTGTGTTTGTATTTTGTAAATTGTGTAACTTGCTGCTGTTAAATACCATCAAACTATGTGCAATATGTGCTATATGTGCAATATATACATTATATACATATGCCATTAATAACTGTGTAATATATACCTGGCTGCTAAATCCCAAGAACTGTTACAGGATTTGTAATTTGAAAAGTATTTTTTCTTTAGTTTTATTAGTTTTATTATATTTTTATTATATCATAACTTAGTACTTTTTTTAACATATGTAACATTAAGCTGTATGTGGCTCTTTCCTGCTGAAACAATGCAAATTTCCCCTCTGTGGGACTAATAAAGGTATTCTGATTCTGATATATTTCAAGGTATTGCACAGTACCAAGTGCACTACTGCACCACAACTAGCACAACCTTGCCATTCGCTAATGAGACCCAGAGAGAAAGAGAGAATGCACTTTTGAAGATTGTGGTGATATAATGTCGCTTTTGCCCATCTGTCCAGCTACCAGCTATAGCCTCTGCCATCACGTTTGTCACAGTAAAGGTCACCCAGCACAGATCCAGTCATGTTGTTGTGGTTGCTTGAAGGTTACAGAGTAAAGGGGGACATGAGGAGCATATCTGCTTGTGACAGTGGGAGATATTGTATACTGAGATGATTAGTGCATGTTGAACTGGTGATGTTCAAACTGGAATGGCATTTAATGTTTTTATTTTTGCAAGTTGAATACACAGTTTAGTAAACCACTCAGAATAAGACGATAATTATTTAGCTTCCACACACGGTTGCTTTTTTTTTTAGAGGGTTGCACTCCTCCTTCTCACAGCTACCTTATTACAGTATATTAAAAATGCATGCCACATGCAACAACAATGCAGCATTTCTTGTACATCTGAATAATACCGATGTCCACTGGGACCCTTAGGGCTGTGAAACCAAGGCATCAATTATTCAAGATGTTATACTCCATCCTGCCAACACGCCAGGAAAAACCACACTTATCACAGGTTCACTGTCATTCACACATCCTGCACAATAAGAACAGGAAATAACCCTGCTTTTCTAAGATAATGAAAAGCTATTTTGCCGGCCTCCGACTACAGCTAAGAGGCGTCAAATTTAATTGGCATTTTAGGTTCAATACAATGAAAGTCATGAGGTATAATGTCTGGAATATCTCAGCAGGGCAGACTAATGACTGTTAGTAACATGCCATTTTTCTTTTCATGGTAAAAAGCTGTTCACCTAATGAAAGCCACGTCCTTCACGGTGATGCTTCACATAGTAAGGTTTGCTTTTTACTTATGGTGTAAGTTACAAAGTGGATTTATGGTTATTGGACGCTAATGGCTCAGGGCAAAGCGAAGTGGTAAAGGCTGCATATATAAGCCTTTGATGTGTCGTATAAATAGACTCAACAATACGATTCTGCCTTATTCTCTCCTTATAAGCCCGTGGCTTCAAAGGCCAGAAAAGAAGATTGGCCTTGGCTCTCTTAAACCCCAAAGATGACTCTCCTCTTTTCATTATTTTTTTCAATCACCCGCCTCTCTCGCGCTTTCTCATTTTTCCACAGCTCCAGTTGTGGCAGTAAAACCTATAATATCGTCTTAACACTGAGCTCTAGCCAAGGTGATCACACCCTTGGGTGGTGTACTGGCGCTTGTCAACACAAGGCCAAGTGTCCTCACCAAGCCTTTAATCAGGAATGATTACGCCTCCTTTAATGGCAGTGTGATGTGATACACCCAGCACATGCACACACATGGCCGCTCCAGCATTTGTCACAAGTCGTCTCCCTTACTTTCCTAAAGGGTCAAATGTATTTATATTTTTGTTTTTACGCTGGCTGACGTACGTTGTGCGCTACATTTATTGGATTTTTTATCAGTTTGTCCATTAATTTGCAGAAATAAATCATGCTGCCTCCTGCACAAAGAGGGGCTAACTAGTTCTTTACAAACCAATAACTCTTGTTCCTCGTTGAATCAGATAAGGACCTAGGTAGGTAGGTACCAGTATTCAGCTTGACTTATTTATTTGTGAGAAATGCTTCTGAAAAGGTGCAGTGACTTCATGGTACGAGTACTCCTTCTGTTTCCTCCTTTTTGCTACAAGTTCTTTTGTCCCTATGACTGGAATGTAGGTCACCTCTAGTCACAGCGGCTGGGTCACATATAATAAAAGGGACACAAAATTGAAGTTTTATTATTTATATCCTGGAAATTGGTTTCATGAGGGCAGATGCTATCTCTGCTAAAGGCAAGGGAAGACTGAAAGGGAAGAACATTATTCGTCCCCCACATTTTTATCACTGTAATAACATTTTATAAGGTTTCAAATGCCTTTTTGTACATTTCTTCAACAGCGGAGTTTTAATACATGTGCTGTAAATATGAACAAAAATGGTAAACGGTGGACTTTTTTTTTAAAAGCCACCTATTTTTTGCAACACGAAAACGATGACAAATATGTTTTATTTTCAGAGTGCCATTGAAGAGCGAGCCAGCTGCATATCATATGGGAATGTTGTGTAGGTGAAAGATGTCCAGATGTATACTTGATAATCAAGAGCTTCTAAGAGTCGTGAAAATGCCCCAAAATGCACTGCAACTCTTCAGAAGCCTGCAAGGATGACTGTTGAAATACTTAACCATTGGATAAAATGAGGGCAAATGTTTTTAAGATACAGTAAAAAATCTATTTAATCATTTTAATTTGCAATAAAACAAAGGAATTAATACATTCAGTTGAAGAGGTTCTGTTGATTTACATTTTGGGTAAACAATTTTCATTCAATGGTCGCTTGGACTGTCAAGACCAATACGGTCATGTGATGCAGAGACTCAACATCATTGTTCATTTAGGCAGTACGCAGAATATACTGTACAGTACGTTTATATTCATTTCAGTCTGTCTCTGGCTCGCTCAAAGTTTAAAGCTGACTTCTGACAAAATGTGAACCTCTCAACATTATGTTTTACCCTTTAAAGTTAAAATAAGAGAAAAGCCTGTGTTTGCTGTGGACTGCCAACAACAACCCTCTGATAGATAAGTGTCTAGTGCTTTTACATGGTGGGGGAAACTCTCAACAATTGATGTGCTCATTTCACAATATAATGTAGTGTGAAATACACCTTGGTGTTAGAAGTCATGCTGCGTTATGTAGGAAATAAACTAGTTAGCCAGACATCTTTGCATCTTAGATTGCAGCAGATAAACCTGCAAAGTTTAATCGATTCACTATTTATTCTGAATCTTTGTTTTTTGAGAACAAATGAGATGTAATAAGATAACAGGGAACCTTCACATGGACATTTATATTCATGATACAGTTCCCATCTCTTGAAATATAGCAAGATAGCCAGGAAAAGGTACAAATCAGGAAGAAGGTGGAAAACAAAAAGGGATGTGAGACGAGTGGAAGAGGAAATAAAGAAGAAAACTCACAGCTTTCAAGCTGCATTGTACAGGTCTGAATGTCCATTGGGAAATTCTTCAAGTCCATAGGGCAGGACAGGACAAGAGTCAGCCTGAGATAGAAAACACAGATTGGAAGAGAAAAGAGGAGCAACAAGGGATGTCAAAAGGCAGGAAAAGGAAAAGACACAAGGTCAAATGATGGGTTAACATATTACAGTGAATCAGTGCCAAGCTGCTTTTGTTTTTCAAATAGGAGTAATGCGTTTGTGTATAATTCAAAAAGAGTAGAATGGGAAACATATTGAGTTGCTCTACCATTTGATTCCTAGCAGCACCAAAGTAATGGCAAAGTAATTGGCGTAGGCATCCCTACATTTATTTGTTGTGGTGTTGATGCATTAAGCCTTCAAAAGAATCCTCAGAGAACAGAGAGAGGGAGCTATTTAGGAGTCTGTTCGGGGGGAAACTGTGTAATTACCTGCTGTAATGCGTCGCCCAGAGGCGAGACAAGAGCTGCGAGCAGTATACACAAAGGCACCCATTTGCTACTGTGTTATGATGACACAATATCCTTCACCAGCTCAAGAACAAACCACAAATACCCAAGTGATTGATTATCCTAACACTGGATTCATTGTGTCATGGTTTTAATCCACACAAAGATGTTTGATCCATAATTACAAAACATAGTTGGTAACCGAATCTATAGCATGCAGTAAATCAGTGGAATGAGGTATCTGTATTTGCAACAGGATTCATGTATTATGTCTTGTTCCCAAAGCAAGAGAGATATAATAAGTTCTGTTAACACAAAATAAAATAATATATAAAATATTAGCTTTGAAAACCTCTTGAGACCCGGAAGGAAATGATTATAATTATTATTGTTCTTTAAATCATTTCGTAGAGTAATTAAGTTAAGAGTTATTGGGAAGTTGGAAATGGCTGATGATTGTATAATGTTATTTATTCATGTTGGACAATCAATATCAGGTCAAACTTTCTTCATAATATGGTAATATTAAGATTTGGCATGATTTAGTAATACTAAATAAATTTTTATTTTTACCACATTCTCATCTCATTGAATATGGAAAACAATGTTAACACATATTAAACAAATCTGCTCTTCTGCCTGCCTCTCTTTCCTCTGTTCTCCTGACAGCTCAATGTCGAGCTCTCCTTCAATAATCTTTTTATCCAAATATTTACGGCCCCTGGTCAAAGGAAAGAAACATGTGGAGAGTGTCGGGAGGGTTAAAAAAACAAAACAAGAAAAGCACTCGCAAGGGGGCTTCCATAGAGGTGTTAAATTACTGATCTTATCAACAAAATGACCAGTCTAGACCTAAAACAATATGTTACACTTGATTTCATCCTTGAAAAGTGCAAATACTAAGGATGCTCAACCAATTGTTTGCACATTTGTATGTCCTCGTGTTGGTTTGGTTACATTTCCAATATTAATCAGTTTAAAGTTGCAATATTATAATTATTGTGACATACAAGCAGGAACTACAAAGGTGAGATTTCCTCCCACAGTATGTTATGGTTTCTATAAGCCAATTGTAAAAAATGACATTCATTTAACAAACAGACTTTGAGGTCACACACTTCCCACTTCACATTTACATCTCCTTTATCCATGCCTTCACCCGTTCAGCATTTCGTTGACCTGTGGAAGGTGCAGTGGGGCTTCTGTGATTGGCAATTCAATTGTTGAAATAATTCTGGTCATGAGGTCGTGTACGAGTGGGATTTGCACTACTTTCCTCACTTTATTTGACAGAAATGATCCCAAAAAGAGCCCTCTAAAATAACACAAACCGAGTTTATTCCACTTTAGTCACTAGTTTCATGTTGGTCTTATACATTAAAATGCAGACGTATTTAAAAGCTTAGCAATATTTGTCATAGTGGCTTCAGAAGCTGGTTTACACAAATGTTAATTGAACATTTTCCCCGGAGCCTTTCTGAGTAAAACAATCATATGTATACCTAAGCAGTTGGAATATGCAGTTTTTGACACTTCATACAGCAGCTACAGTACATCTTATCTTTAGTTACCTAATGCTGTACAGAACGCTGCCATCTTGGAAAATCCGTAGCAGCTTGTTATCAGTAGTGACCTCGTGGAAATTGGCTCCTTTCTCGTTTGCAAAGAATAAATCAGGTTTCCAGATAGAATCCAACATGGATGGATCCAGGTCCAGGGAGTCGTCTGGGTATTCGCTGTACGCCAGACGAGGGTCGTTCCAATTTTGCCGTAGAAATACATTAAGCCTGTAATCCTGTGGAAGAACGTATACCATCAGTGATGTTGCAGTACACACAGACAGCTTAGAAGTGGATCTTTCTGTACATTTCCGAAGTTCTGTGGATGTTCTGTTACTGCTCAAGATTGGAGTCCTTTCTATCCGACCATACATTTAAGATGACTGAAGCGGTTATACTCAAAGATAAAACCATGATGGAACTTTGAAAATCCCCCTTACTACGATGGAATATCACCTTTAAGTCTAAATATACAAAAAATGTGCAATGATATAATTCATACAATACAGAAATACACTCTGACATTGCAGCACCATGATAAGGTATGCTGTGCACAATGAAAAGTTATTGTAGGAAGATTTGAAACGAACTAATGTTTTCAAGATTTTTTATTTGAGTTTCTAAGACAGTGAGGATGTACTTCAAAACGCAGATGCAAAAATGTTTACATATCTCCCGATGACATTGACTGGTGTAAGCACTAGAGTTATGGCAGATGATTCATATTTGTAGTGTAACTCTCAGTGGTTCAGAATAATAAAGGCATTACTCTCTTTGAAAAGCCCATGCATGAACATATTCATAACTGATTGAATGATGGTGCACTGTTTGTTGGAGCATTGCATCCATGAGCTGCTGGTGAGCAGAGGGTTGGCAATGCGAGGGACGAGTGCAAAACACAATCAGCCCTGCCCGCAGCCAGCATACATGAGTAATTAAATTAGAATTCTAATCTCTGCAATTAATTCAGAATTCATCTTTGGGCTTTGCACATCGTTTCCTCTCTTGCTCGTTCACTTCATTGCTCAGAATAAAAAGCATGCTTCACCAGCGCGTGCATTGACATCATTAGAGTTGTCGTTCTGTGGGCTGTCCTGCTGGAGGTCTGACCCTCTGGGCCTCCCTCAGACGTCCTTAAACAGTTCTCTACTGTATTGTGCTGACCCAGCAGCTATAACGCTGTAAACGCAGACTGGAGGACAGCCTTTTTCTCCCTGAACCCCTCGTCCTCTCTCCCATACCCCCTTTCATCCATTTGATCAATTTTTCATTTTAATTGCGGAGTGGACAGTTCATTATCTGCATGTCAGTGACCCATTGGTCTCTGAAGGTTGCACTGTTATGCTCCAGGAAACACAGATATGAGAGAATGGCTTCAGCACTGAGTGGATTAGCAAAGAAGTTGGAAAGAAAGAGGAGGTGCTAAATACAGTTAAACCATTATCCCTTCTTTTAGAAGAAAACACATTTGTCCGTCTAACATATGTTAAGCATTTGAAATCTCTATGGTTTTCTTACCATTGTAGTTTCTGTGATGGACCCAAAGCTGTTGATGAAGATATTACAGGTGACATTCACAGCTGGGCCTGGGGAAACAAAAAACAAGACTGAATGTATACATGTTTTCCATCAGAGGGGATTCATGAGATTATAAAATGACCTTTGATATTTTACATCTCCTTTTTGCTTTTTACCATTTACATCAGATTCATTGTTATTTTCATCCTAAGCAGTCATTTTGGCTGAACATGTTGCTGTTGAAGAGCCTGTTCATTAAAGGCACCCGTTTGTTCAAGCATTTTTTGAAGGGTAATTACATCCAAAATAAATCTCTGACATTAAGTGAAACCAACATTTCAAGAAGATGATTCATACTTAAATGACAGATACATTTTAGAGATCCATCTTCCCGCATTCTGATAAAATCATTAGTTTACAACACTGACATTACGTTATTGAAATAAAATGATTATGCTACTCATTTACCAGATTTGACCAAAACAATGAACTTTTCCCTACTAAAGTGCTTTCATTGCCAGAACACATATTTTCATTCTGTGAGGTCCTCCTTCCCAGTCGGGCACGGAGGGAGAGATGTATAATATGCTGCGTGAGGTAGAAGGGACAGGTGCGTGCTGGAGCTCTGAGACGATGGGAAGTCAGTTTTTGTCGTTTGGCTCATTGGTTTTGCCTGCTCATCAACACAGTCAGCAGTTGGAGCAGCAGCTGTGACAGCTCATGCAGGCGATGAAGATACTTTGTTATCCTTGGCGCACAATTGCTTTTAAAATGTTCAATTGTCAAAAACCATACCGCTCCTTGGTCGTAACTTTGCCAAATCCAAACTCAAAGCAAAGACCTAATCTAATCAATCGAGATAACTTACAGAGTATAACATTATCCATCACGTTTAAGTTCAGCTGAAATCGCATTTAATCATGATTTCTTTTTTGTCAATAAATCAAGTCAAATTGTGTTTTGGATATATTGTTTTCATCATGTTTAATGTGCAACAACTAATAAGCTATCTAAGCTTCAAACTATACAAGGCAAAACTAAGAAGCACCATCAGGAAACTGAAATATATATATATTTTTTAAATGCCCTTCTGGTTTGTAATTTTTCTAAAAAAGACAGGCATTTGGCTGCAGTTCAGCTGATTTTATCCCAATGTCAGACTTTAAAATCCCCTCACACTTGTGCTAGTACAAAAAAGTAGCAATTCCTTTACTGGTTTAAAAAACATTACCAGTAAACATGCTTCAGGCAGCAATTATATTTCCTTCAGAACATAATTGGGAGACAGGGTTGCAGGGTGCTTCTGCTGCGTAGTATAATATATTATGTCTCTTAATTAAGCCAACATCAAACAACAAAGTATCCAATTAACAGTTTGTGGTGACGGCCAGCTGTTAGGTTGAACAGTTCTGTGTAAAATCCAAACATGCTGAAAATGTGGACAAGCTGATGCAATATTTATGTCCTGGAAAGCTAGAAATCTTAGAAAAATATAAGCCTTTCTGACAAAAAAGTATACAGCACATACACAGGAGAATGGTCAGATGTGGAGATTTCGCAGCCCAGATCCACTGGTCTTTTATTTTCTAGTGCTTTTGGTGCTATGGATTTGATTTTCTTCAGGGCTACTGTGAGGGCATGTTCTCTACCTTTGAAGTTGGGTCTGATGCGGGCATCATATCCTGATGTTCTCCCCATGAGCTTGTCCAGGAAGTCAGAAGGCGACAGCTGTGGTCCTGCCCTGCTGGGGGGCTTTATCTCCTCCTTACAGGAGCTCAGTCTGACCCAGGGAGGGAGAGAGAGTGGGAAAAATAAGACGACAAAGAAAAGGGAGAAGATTTGAGAAACAGCAGAGGAGTGTGTGTATATATGAGAGGTACCAGTGGGGGTGGTGGTAAAAAAAACAATGAGAATCCAACAGAGTGAGGAGCCAACAGCAATAACCAAGTCAGTCATCAGCAAAAAATACCCAGCGGTGGGTGAGGAAATGAGTGTGAAAAATGACGATGGATGGCTTGCCTCGGCTGGCAACAAAAATATTACCTATTTCACATCATGTCTGACAGTTATTGGTTGTTAGGCCCTAACTACAGAGAAGCAAAAGAGAAGCAGAGGTAAACTTGTCCGTCTCCTGTGCTTCCCACGGCTCGTGGCTTAGCTGGCGTAAGGCCTGATAGATTGATGACTCAATTGTAATGCTCTGAATGTCACACCGGGGGGAGGAAGGAGTTGATACAAGCTCCAGTGAGGCTCAGGAGCCACTGCAAGGGATAATCAACAGGTCACAGTGAAGGTAAAGAGGGGAAGTGAGACAGAAAGAAGACTGGGGCAACAAGAAAAATGTTCTATAAGGTTTATAATGAATGTGATTTCTCACCAGCCCCTGCTGTAGCTCAGCTGATTGCACCACATGCTTTTGATACAATTGTTAACAGTTCACAATCTGTCATGATCTGTAACTACCCAGTACAGATGGCTGGTTCAGTCCCCTCCGAGGCACAGATTTGCTGGTGCTCTGTGCTCTTACAGTATGAGTGTGTAGCCACTGATCCACCAAATTCTACAGCCTCTTAGCTGTATTTAAAGTCATATAAACCGCATTGTCAGGGGCTTCAGGATCGGGTCTTTAAGGAGGGTATTTTTTGGGACGTCAAGCAGCAGCTTTTATTTAACTCTTTAGTGCAACATTTCACTTATTCATATTACAATTTCAACGTTTATAGGGATGTTGAGCCTGCTGCACAGCTGACATCAACCAACTTAAAGGGGACCTATCATGCAAAATGCACTTTTGTACGTCTTTTATACATGAATATGTGTCCCCGGTGTTCCAGGGAACTCACCAAGTGTCAGAAAACACAACCCTCTCTCTTTTCCTCCATACCCAAATCTCTAAAAACGGGGCTGCAACGGATCTGATACAGACTGATCCAGATTTGAACATTCCTCTGACGTCAGGATGGAGGAGCTGACCTATCAGGGGAATGAGAGGTTGCCGTGGCATGGTAACAGCATGGTAACACAACGCTCGTAACTCGGCCCCCTCCTTTGCAGGGGGGCGTGGTCAGCTGCAGCCATGCAAAGACAGGGTGGAGGAGAGCAAAATGGAGCGAAATGAGGCATGGCTAAAATGCATGATCTGTTTGGTATTTTGAAAAAGAAAATGTATAAATATACCTTATATAGGTATGGCCCTACAATATATTATTCAAATATAGCATGATAGGTCCACTTTAATAATAATAATACATGGGATTTTTATAGCGCTTTTCCTAATGCTCAAAGACGTTTTACATAAAATCAGTGTGATACCTGAGTATGATAAGCATGTACTGTACCATGTTTATGTACTATACAAATCAAATGTAACTGCCATACATCCCAATAGTTATCATCGCTGAAGGTACATCTACTGTATGGCCAAAAAATAACAAAAGCATCCAGCACTTTGTTGATTTTCCCAGAGGAGCAGAGCACATATCTGGTCCTTTCTAACATTATAAAGCTCAACTCTCATCGGTCCCCTGACTCCACTCCACTGCTTCCAGCCAAAGTCCACTAGTTGTACAGTGTATTGGTCCTCCTTTCATGCCCCTCTCTCTCTTCCACTCACACAGTAACACACTCAAACAGGTACACAGATGGATTGATGCTCAGGCTCTTACGCTCTCAGTAAGCCATTGATAACAAACTGGCTGTCTTGAGGTTAGGTTTTTTTGACGGATCAACACAAAACAATAAAACATCTTGTTTGGTCTCAAGTGTGATTTTCTCTGACAAGCAGTCACAAGCTCTCAGGGAAAAATGATTGTGACCATAAACTGTGTAGTTTTGAAGATATATTAATAGAAAAAGAACAGGTCTGTAGCACAACTGGACGTTCAAGCAAAGATTTGTGAACGCATCAGCACAGCCTGCTGATGACTGAGCTGCATTATGACATTTATGGTGTCAAAATCATAAAGGGAGTTCACTTTAGTCAAATCATCATTCTTACAAATGCATAGCAAGTCTAACCCATAAGGCAAGGTTCATATCTATGATGTACTACATTCATGAGTCAGTGCTTGAAGTCAAAACTATTCATCAAAGCATGCACTGCCGGTGAAATGCAGCCTTGGTCTGTGGAGCCGTCTGTATGAGTAATTCCTTGTTGATGCAAATTCACAGTGATGAAACAACAGTATGATATTCCTCAGCTCCAAACCTATGCGCTCTTGATACTGATTCAACACAAGCATATAGAATGCATTTACATGATCAGATATGGTTCTAACATGTCATACGCAGGGCCGCCCCTCCCTACAGGCCGATCACGCAGACTGCGCGGGGCCTCACCTCGCGGAGGGGGCCTCATCTGAAGCGCAAATGCGGCGCACCTACGTGTAAGCGCGCCACAGTTTCGCCGCTGCGAGGCTCCACTAGCCACGTCCCCGTCGACGCTCGCGACACAGAGGGCCTCATCATATAACTTTGCGTGGGGCCACAAGTTGGCCAGGGGTGGCCCTGGTCATACGTAACATTTCCATTGAGGCAACTGTTGTTTGGTCCAATGACAACATTCTTTACCTTTGCAGCGTTTTGTTTTGTTAAATAATGAACAAAACGTATATGTTTAATTTCTTAATGTGGGAAAAAAGACACAAATGTAGGAAAAGTTTTGCAAAATTATCCCATTTATCTTTGGGAAGGTTCCAGAAGTGTCTGAAATATTTTCTTTCTCATTTGCTGAACTTAAAGAACAACAACAAAATCATGCAGATGCCATTCAGAGTGTGATCATAGTTTATGTGAACTCACTGTGGAGAGGTCTACAGCTGAACTATTCACCCTGCATTGTGGGAGGGGCTGAGGATTTCTGCTTTCCCTCAGGCCTTACATCACCTCTCGATCAGCCGCCATGCATTTTTAATTGGACTCCTCACTATTGTGTGAGGTGTCATCAATGCTTCAACGTCAGCTATCTTATAACCCTGAATATGTGAAAGAAGAAACCGCCTCAATCAAAATACTTATTATCTCAAGATTTCCGTACCAACCCAACTGTCTGAAATAAAACAGGTTGTTAAAAAATGTACATCTGCTTTTTTGGTAGACAAAATACTATGGTTCTTATCCAAATGTATTTTTATGTTAGGTCTTTTGAGGTTAGTATTCTGTATAACCGTCATTTTCAAATTCATATCTTGAGTTTCTAGTGACTTTAAAACTACAAGTGTAACTGAAAGTGGTTCCTCAACCCTTCAAAGCTAAAGTATGTGGTTCTTTGTCAGAGTGATTCAATTATGAAGATGCTCTTTGCTGACATTTAATGAGCCTGACCTTTTACTTCCCCCTACTTCCCTTTTCATTTTAGCATTTTGTGCCAGACTGCTGTCGAGAATACGTAACAAGCCTTCCTTTCTTTCATCCCACTGTGGAGCACGTTTTGGCTTTCACTTTTGTTAATGAGTAACTTTATTTGGCTTTGACAGCAAAGATGAGTCAATGCTGAAATGCGATTGCATACACACACTTACAAAGGCTAGAACAACGGAGATGGTTATTTATGTTTAATTCAAACGGCTGTTCTGAAATGATTTAGTCTTCTGTGAAATTTCAGTATGCCGGCTAAAACTACTGTACTGTTTTCTCTCTGAGGACAGGCCTAAATAGACATTAAACAAAATGGTTTTAATCTTGGCACACTTTGCAGGTGTAGACATACTAAGTAATCAGGCACATTTCTATTCTGGATGCAGTTTGTATGGCAGTTGTTCGTCATCCTGTGCTCACATACACTAAAACATGTGCACTCTACAGCTATGAGAGTGAAACACTGTTATGACACACCTGTCAGGACTCTGCTGTCAGCAAATCAACCACGGGAAGCCACTGTATGAGCAACTCATCTGAAAAGCTACCCTGCATTTGATTACCGTTTCACCCCACCTGGCTTTAGGCAAACATTTCAGTCAGCCATTTATTTTAATCAAGTATGTGTACACATGACCAATGGTTCAGGCAAACAGCATGTTGGCAATTTCTGTAAACATGGATGCATGACCATGGTTGCTTCATTTTTTAAATTTCTCCTCACAGAAAAGAATCTCCAACATCAACAGCCAGTTTTGGTCCAAAGCCATTGTGAGAAATATCGTTTATAATTATAAGGTGTTAATTAAGCATGAGCAATTTGGAATTATAATTGCGATTATTTTGCCTGATATTGCAATTGTGAAATCATTCATGAATTTATAATTTCTGCGTTATTCACTCGTTTCCATTGAAAACATATTAAAATCTTCTTATTTTTAAGAGGATATTTAATGAAGATTTTTTTTTCTTAATTCTGTAGAACATGATTTTAAAATGAATCTCTGCAGCACCTTATTACTTAATTCATAGTTGTATTTTGACCATAGACTGTTTGACACTAATTCAGCCTTTAAGAAGTTTGAAACCTCCTAGGATTAAAATTATACACCGCTCCATATGTTGCAAATTCGACACAATTACTTTTTACAATGTTAATCCATAATAGTTGGCTAGCACTATATATTCAGCCCAAACCTTTAGTGCCAGACAAGAAAAACACATTTCTGGCCAGCAACATAAAGAAAACACACATTTCTGTGATTGTTTTGAGTGGTGCTATTGGTTTTAAACTATGGGGTGTTTGTAGAATCGTCCAATATAAATATGCTTCCTGCAGTTATTGGCCTGTTGCAGCTTGTTTGAGATGCATGTTCAGATCCAGTTATGACATAAAATGCAAAAAGGGTAAATGGATCATGTAAGTCAATTTGACCAACTTATCATTAATACAATCCTGCCAATAAGCTCAGGCAAAGAATGAGAAGCAGCATAACTGCTACCGATTTCGAGCGTAGTGCGTCACTTAGTTACAGGGAATATACAACCATTCACAGTTAAAGAAAGGAAGCTGGAGCTGTCATTCTGTATACAATACACAC